CCCCCCCCGAAATAAAGAACTGCTCATGAAAAAGACTGCAGTTTGCTCACAAATACAGGAATGTTTTCCATTTACAAACCCTCTGATAACCATTACCGTGTCTGTAAAAGGAGCAGGAGCGTTTCACCCAGAGCCTTAAACTGGACCATCTGTGATTCATCTAAAGACTTATTTACCTTCTCACTTTAACACAATAATGCCTAAAATGTATAACCTTTGAATTTATAAGGACGTTTACAATGGCAATAATTAAGGAGAGTAATTAAGAAGAAATGTTTACAGTGTTTGTTCTGACCATTTTTGAAACTGCGGAGAGTGTTTTATATTCTATTTTTCGGAATGAAGATAAATGTAATGTGTACAAAATGCTATTGAATGACGAATAAAGGACTTGAGAGTAAGAGAAAAACAGAATTTGCTCTGTAGTAATTGAACAAACTCGCCAAGGGCCCGACACTCTCTGACCCAGTCGGCCGCATCATCCCGGGTCCTGCACAAGCACAGCCATGACGTCGGCTTCGTCTCCCAGCCAGAATCAACTCAGGCTGCAAGCCCTTCTCCTTAAATAAGTATTTCCTTCTAAGTTTGACTGTGCTAATGAGTCACTCAGGATACTGCAGGTGAGACTCTCCTGACCCCAAGGGAGGGGGGTGTACATAATAAATTGCCCTCCCCATACCCCCCATCCCCAACCGCACATACAAATCACAGAGCACAAGCTGTCTATCCCACTGCGCTAAAACCAAATCCAAACAGGGAAGGGTAGGGGCTTCACTGCTCTATCCCACCGCCTCTGAGCTATACCCTCTTGGTGGCACCTTGGCTCTGCTCAAACGCCACCGTCCCCCGTCCCCCCTGTATCAGGAACTTTCAAAAAGTAGCATCTGAGCCAGCCAACATTTCCAAACAGAAACATTACAAAAGGTCTCTGCACGACCCACCCATTTAATCAACCCGCTGTAATTAAACAGCTGTTCCTTTCACTCCTTTAACCTATTGGCAACTTAATCTTTTACTCCCTCCATTGTTTTTTATTCACTTCTTACGTCAGCCGTTCTTAAGGCAGTGAACATCTGTGCAGGAGACCTATTCCTTGGCAGTGGTGGAAAATTCAAGCTCAGAACACGAATCCAGGCTGAGATTTTGCTTCAACCAACCAGATTGTTATAAAGAGTCACATTCACAGAGTACTCAACTGGTTGGCTGAAGGTACCCTCCTACCTGCCCATATAGGTACCCTCCTACCTGCCCATATAGGTACCCTCCTACCTGCCCATGTAGGTACCCTCATTCCTGCCCATGTAGG